GGATGTATAAAATTGATCAAAAGCCATTTGATTTCCATTTTAAATAATTCCTGTTCTTTTTAACTTTCTGTTAATAAGTATAATAATAAGAAATGTTTCTTGAGCATCAAATCATCATATTGGAATGATTTCTGAAGGATCTTGTGACACTGAAGTAAAGAAAATAATATATTTTAAAATATATTAAAATAGAAAACTATTATTTTAAATTGTTATAATAAATCACGTTATTAAAGTTTTTACTGTATTTTTGATCAAATAAATGCGACCTTAGTCTGCAAAAGAGGCTTTTTACAAAAACATAAAAAAAATCTCACTGACCCCAAACTGTTGAACGGTACCTTATTTTTCTTCAAATTTACCCCAAAACATTTGTAAACAAAGTGTGCATGTTTTGATTGACAGCTGCAGGTAAGTTTCGGGACAGACAGACGTGAAGGTTGTAAGACATGCACGGTTGTTGATCGATGCCTTTCCAAATATCAGGCAGATATCAGCCAATTAATCATCCTGGCCAATATATCAGTGTATAATGTGCAGTATAATAATAGCACACAAACAGAGACCGTGTTTAGACATAATCTCTGTCTGATCTGTTTGGGAGAGATCCAGAGTCATTTGGCTGATGCTGTTATTGTGATTTATGAAGGCAAATTGCAGTATCTGATCGTGTGTGTGTGTGATGGGGAGGAGAGACTCGTGATAGCGTCTATATGAAGCAGGAAGTTGATTTCATTACACACACGGTGAGCAGGTTCAATCCCCGTGTCCAATATAGAAATTCACTCCACTTTTTTTCTGGTGTTTTATTAATGTTTTATAACAAACCCATTTCATTGAACAGAAAATAAATACATGGGACTTGAATTATTGATTTGAGTTGAAATTATTTTATTATGTGTGAAGGAAAATGTTCTATCTCTTGTATAATTCATATCTCTTGGCGTGATAAAAGAGATATGAAACTAGCTATGAAATAGTTAGGACATCGGTTACTGTGGGCAAAGGTCAGGTTTGCGTAATTATACAGAAATATTTGACCACACAATTACTCAATTGAGCATTTACAGTCAATTATTCCAGAGAGCTGTGTGATAAGATACTTAGTAAGGCTATACAGTTAATTCAAATTAAACCTCAATCATGATTTGAATATATGCGCTGTGCTGTGTGTTACATAGTGAAGTGCAGCACTGTGTTCATTTACACGTGAGCAGCTCATGATCCACCAGTGTTTTCAGCTCAGAGCGGATTAGTTCACAGTAAATGCTGCTCCACACAAGCTCCAACTACATCTGTATATAAAATAAAAGTTTAAGAGTTCAACATTTTAAAAAGAAGAAATTAAGATGTATATTGGTATTGGTAAATATTAAATATTGTAATTTTACAGTAGTAGTAGTAATAATAATAATCTTCGTATTATCATTTTTGAGTGTTTGTAATATTTAGTAATAGCCATGTTTATATTTTTATTTAGTAGTATCTATTATTATAAAAATTGTTGTTGTTGTTGTTTAATGTTTGACCATTTGAAAATAAATAAAATAGTAAAAATTGTATTTAATTGAGTAATTATTAGTATTGTAATCTTACACTTGCCATATAAAATAAAACATTATTATATTTTTATTAAATACTAATTTCTGTATAAATAATAAATAAAATGAAAACAAATAATTAAAAACAATATAATAATTAATATTGTTTGACATTTTAAAATTAATTAGGACAACAATAATTATTAGTAATGCAATTTTACAGTTGTAAATTATATTATTTTTCTTAAACACTCTTTTTTTCATTATACAGTGAAATATTACAATAGTAATATTTCTTATTTTGTTCCTTCATTATAAAAATTTTTTTTTTTCTTAAATACGCTTTTCTATTTAATAATAATAAATATTATTGTTATTGTTGTCGATGTTTAATATTTAAGTATTTTAAAATAAATTTACATCCATAAATATTACAAATATTGTCATTTTTATTTGATAATATTTTATAGCTGATACATAATCACAAAATTGTAGCCAAATTGTGCAGCCTTACACACAAGCAGCAAACCTGTAATTCTTTTCAATTCTAAAAATTGCAATCACAGTTTAAATTTTTTATTTTTTTTTTATCATCAAATCGTGCAGTCCTCATACAGTGTGGGTTGTGTTTATGGTGGATTGGTGTGGTGGCTTTGTGCTTTTATTAGAGGAGTATGAGCTCAGAGCTGATCCATGACTCATTCACCTCTCATTACCGTCCCACTCCTTATCTCCCCCTACGCTCTCTCTCTCTCGCTCTCTGTCTCTCTCTCTCGCTCTCTTGCGCGCTCTCTCTCTCTCTCTCTCTCTCTGTCTCTCTGCCCACTCATGCGGTGGATTGGGGGATTGGTTGCTGTAGGGGCGGAGTGAGCTCTCTCACAGACTCTGCTGGGATTGGCTGATTGGAGCTGTGTATTTTAGTGTGACTGTGGTTGGGTTGTCCCCGTCGCCCCCTCGCGCTCTCTTTGAGGCAGCGTTCCAGAGAGGATATCTGCTGCTCGCAGGCAGGACGGGATTAACTCAACAACTCATCTCATCTGCATATAGATGCCCAGAGAGAACCAGGCGCAGGGGCTTCAGACACTCGCTGAAGAAACTCTGTTTGGACTAATTGGACGTTCACATTGGTGATTTGTTTTGGCACCCTCAGATCTCTGGCAAAAGATGTAGAAGAGTCTGTTAGGGGATCTCGGAGTTGTGCTTAAGTTTTCTTTAGTCGGTGTGTGGAGTCGCTCCTCAAGCGTGCGAGATGCCGTCTCGCGAGTCCTGTGTTCTCCGTAAGGAGGAGAAGTCTCTGGTGCACAAGGCCAAGGCAGAGGGCAAGGAGCAGGGGATGGTGGCCGCTGCTCTGGGGATGAAGATGAGTCCTCAGAAACCTCCGGCCACTCTCTGGCAACCTCTCAAACTCTTTGCTTATTCGCAGCTCACGTCGCTGGTCCGTCGAGCCACACTGAAGGAGAGCGAACGGGCGCCCAAGTACGAGAAAGTCCACAACTTCAAGGTAAGGATCCACAAAGCCTCATGGCCTGCTTTAATGGGATTATCTTACTAGAAATCATTATGTTTGCATAAAGTCTTGAAATAAGGAATATGTCAAGTTTTTGCCAATTTTTTTTTTTTTGCCAATTTGTTTATCAGAATTGTCCGAAGAAGTGGATTTTTTTTGTTCTTTCTTCATGCATAAAGCTTATTGTAGTGAGTTTGATAATCTTGGTAATATTTCTTGGTATAATGTAAATAATATTGGTAATATTATTATTTATGGTCAGTCAAAACATTTTTTCATTTTTAAAATGATTTCAATTTGGCCTAAATTTTGCCATGATTCATTGAAATGTTTTGAATGTTTTAAATGTTTTGAAAGAAGAAATGCTGCACAGTTTTGTCAAATTAACTAAACAAAATTCATTTAAAGTATGTTTGGTACATGATTACTGGATTTCTTGTTTCATGCATGAATCTTGCTGAATTAATTTTGATTTGTGCTTAAACAAGAGCAAAAACTATTTGCTATTGGGATTAGAAAAATACATTTTGGAAAATGTTTGGTATATTACCAATAAATAATTTTGGTAATATTATTATTTGTGGTTTATCAACTTTTGTTTTGTTTTTTTGCATAATGGTCTCACTTGCGTCTCAATTTTACTGTGATTCATTGAAATGTTGACTGTGTTGTGTTGTTGTGACTCACTTTCAGAGCGACTATGTCATAGCATGTTATGCAAATTCTCCCCAAATGTGATTTAAATCCGTCCCGAGGGGTATGTTGTTGCCGTGGCAGCGAGTGCAGGTTTCTGGAGACGTTGGAAGAGTTAAGATGCTGTAAGCCGTGAGTCTGTTTAAGACGGGGTTATTTAGAGGCAGTTCAGCCAGAGGTTCTGAAAAACAAGTCAAATAAAAACATCTTGTGTTTGCATGAGAGAGGAAGGGAGCGTGAGGGAGGTTGTTTGGGGTGACAGATGGAGAGATTAGGAACTGATAGAGGATTGGTAAACATAACGGCGTTTCCTCATTTGGCTTCTGTCCTCAGCAGGTAGTGGATCCCAGACCCCAGCCCCCTCTCAGCTTCAGTTTGTCTGTAGTCAAACCCTCACAGACTGCTGACTCCACAAAGAGCTCTTTCTGCTGCTTGCTTTCTCTCATGCTTGCGTTTTCTCCTTGTTGTCACATGGTAATTGATGCTCAGATACTGGATAGCGGCTGCTTTTGTCAGCAGTACAGTGAAAATTACTAAATATTCAAGTTATTATCATTAGAAGCATAGAACCAGCTGTGTTTACACTGAACATACTAGATATTGTATACTGCGATAATGTACAGTCAGTAAGTCATTTAGCAAAAAAACATAGGGGTTATATGTGCATATAATATATCATTTTATTATAATTTATTTAGTTGTATTATTTCTTATTTTTATTACTTAATAATAACAAATGAAAATGATGTTTTTTAAATACTGTTTTTTTAATAGTATAAATAGTATGTAAAAAACTGTTTTATATATGGGAGTTGGAAATTTTGCCTATTTTCAAAAATAGTGGAGTGTTCCTTTAAAAGAACCATTATTTTCTAAAGAACATTTCTACTCAAAATCTTTTGCGGAATGGAAAGATTCCATAAATGTTAGGTTCTTCATGGAACCTTTGTTGCCAATAAAGAACCTTCTTTTTTTAAGCGTGTAGAAAACATGTTAGCTCGCTATTGCATACTTATGACTACAAGTGTTTTATTATTATTATATTTGTTATTTTAGATTTTGATGGGTTTGTAGTACATGCTTTAACTAAGGTTCCAAAAGGTTATTTTTTGTTTAGTTTTTTGAAGCAATGCAAAAGAAGAACCTTATTGGGTTCCCCAAAGAACCTTTCAGTGAACAGTTCATAAAAAAGCATTATTTCTTAGTGTGGAGATTTTAATAATCTAAAGAACCACTATAATGAAGATTTTGTGGAAAGGTTCCATGAATGTTAAAGTTTGTCATGGAACCACAGATGCCAATAAAATAACCTTTATTTTTAAGAATGTAGGAAGCGATTTAAAAAGGAAACAATTAAGAAAACAATTCCTGAAATCAATTAAGATGCTGGCATGAAAAAAATCTAAAAGTGGGGGGTTCTCCATGATTATAATGGTGCACAATGATACACCCTTGTGTTTATAAACGTAATATAATTTGTGTCATTAAAGCTATTAACTTCCAGCCGCTGAACCCCCTCTGAAGTGTTCAGTAGCTTCATCTGATGACATTAGGATAGGTTTGGGGTTTTGTAGGGGTGAAGTGAGGATTCCTGCATATATCTCAGCTGTGAAGCTGGTACAGAGTTGATGGCGTGTTTATTCACACACACGATCCGAGCTCACATAGGTCAGTGTGTTGCTCTGGCTGATGTGCATGTGAATACTCATTAGCCTGTGGAGGCAGCATAGACTGGCCTACATCTGCAAGAAACCAATTGAGCGCTGGAATGAGAAAACATTATAATGATAACAGACAGATGAAGACTTGTTTTATTTTATGCATGCAATTTATTTTTTTTTTGTCTTGTGCAAAACAGGATTTTTAAAATACATATTAGGAGTTCTAATCTCTGTTTAATTCAGGTTTTTTCTTTGTGGTTGGTTGTTTGTGTTTTAATGATTTATTTATAGGATAATGGGAGCGACACATATGTTTTCATGAACTGGCTTCATGAATAATGCATGAAACTATTTTGAAAGCAGCTTGTTCAAAATCCCTTATTCTGAGACACTTTTTACGCTATTTGTATCCACCTCCTTTTCTCACCTCTACCCATATCATTCTCTCTCTCGCTCTCTCTCTCTCTCTCTCTCTCTCTCTCTCTCTCGTTCTCTCTCATTTACATTTACAATTTTTGTTATTAACAATATTAAAAAATAATCTAGGACAGTGAAATCTCATTTGATGTAGAGATTTGCATTCAGCATTGTGATCTGACATGCTTTCTTCTTTTGCTTTTCGTCTGTGAGAGCGAGACTCCGAGCTATTGTTTTGGGTGTCTTCCAGCGTGCCAGCCCCAGTGCCCAGGCATGTTGTGCCACATTGCCTCATGAGAGGATAAAGCGCTCCCCCTCCCCCTCGGCCCAGTCCATCATGGCAGAGACTGAAAACAAAGCTGGCACGTCTTTATAATGAGAAGAGGGGCTGAGAGCTCGCAACTAGCTCCACTTTACACACACAGACACACACACACACGCATTAAAATTCAGGGCTCGTCGCAGCACTGGGTCACACAGTGAGTGTGAGAGGGAATTTCAGGATACAGGAACCGCTCAAAACATTCTCACAATGGAAGAAGACGTCTGAGTTTAGCTCAAGATATTTGCTTCTACAATGCCTTTGGGTAACACTTTGACTAAAGCCTGTATTTATAATGTGTTATGGATGCTCCTAATTAATTATAACATAGGCATAATGCTTTACTCTTTGTACTGCATTAATTTTTTTTTTTTTTGGTACACAATTTTGTCATGCATAGGCAAGTAACAATGTAACTGTGCCTATGCATGATAAAACCAGAAAATGCATTATATTGCATATATATGTTGTAACTGTGGTTTAAGGAGAATAATTGACTCTGGACCATTGAATTATTGAAAAGGAATGTGCATGCAAAGGATGCATTGCAGTGCATTCATTTTCAATAATTCAGTAATTTACAGCTGATTATTACGTGTCTTCTCAGGAAATGTGAATGCATTATAATGCAAAACTAAAACCGTAGAAAAATGTTTTTTACAAAATAAAAATGTATAAAATAAAATAAACATTAACTAAAATAATTAAAAAAAAATGCTTTTTGCTTATTTTATTTACATTTTATTTCAGCTGGCTGCCAAGGCAACATATCTCATTTTCATTTAGTTTAAGTTGTAATTATAAGTAATAAAACAGCTAAAACTAAATACACTAAAATTATATAGACAGGCTAGACTATATAGGTAAAATAAAGACCAATAATAATTACAAAAAAAATTTAAATGAAATCAGAAAATATAAAACTAAAATATAATTCAAAATATTAACTAAACTCTGATAGTATATCAATGATACATAAATAATACTGTCATTTAATATTGTTATATTAAATTTTATATACTGGCTTCAAATAAAACCCATTTTTCATCTAATAGCGCTTCTAAAGAAAATCTTTTGGCTGTTTAACTCTCCTAAAGGCTTAAACTACACGCATACATGCACTCATTCTCAAACGGAGATGTGTTTGTATGTATGCGTGTCCTGATATGTATCTGTCCACATGTGTTCCGGGGGTCACCTCTACGCCACTTTGCTGAACAAGGGCTCGGCAGACCTGAGCGAACAGATTGAATGCATTAGAGATGTGCCCTCTTAGCGCATGTCTCCTCCGCTTATCATAAACCTCACTCTTCTTTTTCAAAAATAATTACAGTTCTGCATGGCTGAAGTCTCAGGACGACAGAGTCGCTCAAGGGGCCGTTTTTTAATCACACACTGCAGAATCTTTATAATAAGTGTCAGCGAATAATTCAGTATTTGCAGTCAATGCTTTAGATTAGACTTCATTCTAATTCCAGGAGTCAAATGGGTAGAAAAAAAAAACTATCGCCTCTTATTGTTTTGCGGTAAAAAAAGGAAATCAGTCGCCAGCTACAGATTAAAATTTGGGGTCAAAGATGTAACATTCATTTTTTTTACCTCATCTTAAGCTCTTTATGACCTTAAAATGCATTCTTACAGACAACAACTTCAATGTTATCTTCAAAAAAAAAAAAAATCTGTCTAAAAAGATAAAATGAAGCAGTTCTAAAATATTTTTGGGGAGAAAAAAAAGTCAAGAATTTTCTATAATTTTTTTTTTTTTTTTAAGTTTCTAGAAAATATCCCAAATTTGAATTTTATGACATGAAAGCATCATGTTCATGATTTACAAATGTCATGTAAATAATGCTTTTTGCAGCACCTTGACAAAATATTTTTTGTAAATCTTTTTTTAATTGTTATTTCTTTTCAATGTAAAGATGTGTACAGTATGATTCATGAAGGAAGGTGTAACTTGCCATTTTTAGAGTCATTAAATCCAACTCTTTGTATGAAAACGGAGTATAAGTATGAATATTATATTTCTAAGAAAGTGGCACATGCATTTTAAGATAGATTTTTGCTCTTCATCAGGCTTAATCGTAATTGCTCTGTAGTAGACAGTCAAAGGCTGATGAAGTGATTCAGAATGACAGTCAGAGAGCAGAGTAGAGCAGAGCGTTTGGCCCATTTATTGCAGGAAATGAGGTCTGCTGAAGCCCGCAGGACTGACAATCACTGCCCACTCCAGCATTATGTTTGAGTACAGATCTGAAGAGTGGTCAGGTCACGTTGTTTTCAGTGTGGCTCACTGAGCATCCCACACATCTGCCCTGAGCTCGCATCGCAGTCTTTTATTCATCTGCTTCTTGTCACTGTTTTTCTGCGTTCTTCCTCTTTTTTTCTGTTTTCTGTCTCTGGTACCTGCTTTGAAGCAGCTGGCCCATTTAGTAGGCCACATTATATATTAATCAGCTAATTTGCCTAAATTTGCATATGCTGTGCCAGTTCTTGTGTGTGTCTGGCCTGGTTGCATGGGCGCAGTTGGGGGTTGGTTAGTTTTTGCTTTTTAAAATAACTAATTTAAAGGTTTTTTTTTTTTTTTTTTTTTTTTTTGAATTGTGTGCTGTTTGAACTATTGTTGATGTTTCTGGTAAAATGTGAAACGCTATCAAAATATTGCCCTGTTTGTTTTTGTTTAAGAAACTCAACAACATTGGCTCAACCAATAGCAGGAGTTGGGGGCAGGACTATCTGTTTCCCACAGTGAAAGACGGAATGTTTGAGAAACCCATTTGAGAAAAAGTTTTTTTTTTCATTCATTAAATGGGAGCAAAACTAATTTTCATAAAAATGTATGAAACATTACATTTATATAATGTAAATTTCTCATTCTTACATAAAATGTTCGTACAATTATCCTTGCATAAATTGTTACATTTTATGCAGATTGTAACAATTCTGCCTGTGTTTGATGGATTCAGCTTTTTAGTTTTTTGTTTACTTATTTTTACAGGAAAACAACTACATTACTGCATTTCTTAAACGTTATATATTTTTTTGTTTTGTTTAGTTTTTTTTTGTTTGGTTTGGTTTTATTTTTAATTGAAAATGTGTGTTTGGTGAATTGTTTTATAAATAAAGGGATAGATACACCAAAACGTAAAATTCTGTCATAATTTTCTTTCTTTTTTTTTTCTAGTATAGGACAGTGTAGAAAGTGACAGGAAGTCACTTCTTCTTAGGGTTGCAAAAAATTGGAAAATTTCCAGTAAATTTCAGGAAAAATCCAGAATTTCCCAGATTTTTTGGGATCTTCCGGGGATTTTTGGAAAGTTTCCAGAAATGTTCCACCCCTTTCCAACCCTACTTCTTAATATTTGTGTTTATCTTCCACAAAGGAAGAAAGTCACAAAGGCTTGAAACAACATGAGGTGTAAATGATGACACAATTTTTATTTTTGGCTTACAGTAACCATCCCTTTAATTAGCTATTGTTCATTTCATTTTTTCACAGGTTCTCAGAGATTTACTTTTGAGGCTTATGAAGCTATTAGGTGCCTGAAATTGCTCATGCATATTTTATAAGGCACCATTTGTATTCCTGCCAAGTTCTGTCATCGCCAGGGTGACACTATTGAAATCCCCGTCAGCCAATCAGAAGCGCTGGCATCACTGATTAGAGGTCAGGAGAGGTCACCGATTAAGCAGAATGAAAGCTCAGCATGCTGGGGACTCTAATTTCACTGAAGCACATCCGCCTCAGGATCGATAATACACACAACATACTTATTCTGTGATTTCAGCGTGTGACTGAACACAGTGGATTTACTGATTGATTTAGCCATGGGTTTGACAGGAATGATGAAATGAAGCCTGGGATGGAGTTGTTTGGTCAGCTGATGTGTGTTTGTGTTGTGTGTGTTTCTCAGATTGTGGGTTGAATGTCCATAAGCAGTGCTCGAAGATGGTGCCCAACGACTGCAAACCGGACCTGAAGCACGTGAAGAAGGTTTACAGCTGTGATCTCACCACACTGGTCAAGGCTCATAACGCTACACGACCCATGGTGGTGGACATGTGCATACGAGAGATCGAAGCACGAGGTGACTCGCTGACTCTGATTTACACTAAGCAACTGTGCAGATGTATAAGTGTTTTATATTGTGTAAATGTTTTTTGTGTTTTGTTTGGTTTGGTTTTACACGGTCAGTGATATGTTATAAATATTTTCTGTTGTGTGTTTGTTTTGTTTGTTTTTATTTTTCACAACATGGTTGAAGATATATTGTTTTTTGTTGTTGTTGTTGCTCAGCCCATATTTAAATTGTTTTTGTTTGTTTTTAATATTTTTTGTTGTTTGCGTGTTTTGATTTTTGCTTTCACAAGATCAGATTTTCTAATAAACAAAAAAACTTCATAATACTGATAGCCAATGTTATGACCACTGACTTTTGCAGTTTTTCTTCAGCCCATTTATTTTATTTTCGTTTTTCTTTTTTTTTTTCATTTGTTGTGTTTCATGTTTTTGTTTCTTGTATTCACAAGGATACCTTGTGTTTTTCTAATACTACAAAATCTTTTAGTTTAACAGTCAAAATATTCAGAGCTCTTAACAGTGCTACACATTATTACCTTAGCTTTTATTACATTGGAGACGCAGCGAAGCATTATGTGTACTCTATAACGCCTTCTTCAACCGTCTTGTCGCTCAGGTTTGAAGTCGGAGGGTCTCTATCGAGTCTCTGGATTCAGTGACTTTATTGAAGATGTGAAGTTATCGTTTGACAGAGGTGAGTGGCGTTTTTTCTGATTGTGTACAGTACTGATCCGTCACAAAGCCCACATTCCTACACACACTCACACACACGCCTGCACGTGTATCTGTGTGTGTAATCCTGATGAATCCCATACACATGCTCACCGCTGCTTTTTTAGGTCTCTCTTTGTCTTGCGTATAGAGCTGTGGGTTTATGTAATGTGAAATAGTCTGAGCTGCTTAAATGTTAAAGTGGCACATTTGTTGGAGGATTTTCGCCCATCTGTTGGTATTCAGATGCATTACTGCATTACTGTTTCATAATGACTCTCAATCCGGATATGAGGATATGAACAAAAAAATGTTAAGTTTATATATTAAAAAGGTTTATATATAATATAAATTATATGAATATAAATATATACATGTGAATATTTTCAATATATATATACTGTATATGTGTGTATTTATATATACATAATAAATATACACAGTACACACAGATATATTATGTAAATAAAAACTTTTATTTTGAATGAGATTGATCGCGATTAATCGTTTGACAGCACTAATTTATTTGATCAAAATAGAGTAAAAACAGTAATATAAAATATAATTTTTTTTATTTTAAAAATATTAATAAAATGTAATTTATTCCTTTGATGGAAAAGATTAATTCCATCAGGACCATTTCCACAAACTGTTTTTAACACTGATAATAATCAGAAATGTTTCTTGAGCAGCAAGATTACAATGATTTCTGAAGGATCATGTGACACAAGATAAAAGATTCTTGAGTAAAGAGTAAAAATGCTGAAAATTCAGCTTTGCATCAAAGGAATAAATTGTATTTTCATATATATTAAAATAGAAAAAATGTTTTTAATTGTAGTAATCTTTCACAATTGTACTATATTTGATATATTTGCTATATCAAAAAAAATGCAGCCTTGGTGAGCATCATAAAAAAACTTATTTCAGAGAAAAGTTAATGACTCCAAACGTTTGACCGGTAGTGTTTATATAATCCTGAAATAACACTGAAGCCTGGAATACAGAAGCAGTTATATTGCATAATAACACTAACACACCTGCACCATGCAGCATCACAGTACAGAAGTATTCTCACAAGCTCAGAATAAGATAAAGTTAGCTAAATGTCTTCAAGCTCGGTCCCTGGAGCCAAACAAGAGCGCTGTCTGTGTGAATGAGTGCAGAGGACTGACTCTCCCTGGAGCCGAGGGTGAAATGTGTTTGTGTGGGAATGTGTTCAGATGGAGAGAAAGCAGACATCTCCGTCAGCGTCTATGAAGACATCAACGTCATTACAGGTGCTCTTAAACTCTACTTCAGGGACCTGCCGATCCCCATCATCACGTATGACGCATATCCACGCGTCATGGAGGCTGCCAGTGAGTCACACGCTCCACATTTCTCCATTAGACACTCAGTTCCGGCTCTTTCCCCATATTTCACCTCCTTTTATTTAATAAAAAAGCAGAATTCATCAAAAGTAAGAGATGTTTGCTATGCTGTGCACACAGAACAGCATGAATCATGCATTTGTATCATATGCATACTGAAATAGCAAAACTCTTGCTTTAAAAGACGGCTCGTTTTGATACTAAAGCAGCGTCATTCTTGGATGAGCCAATGCCAGAATTGCCAGAACTGTTTTTTTTAAACACATTGTTGTACATACAGTTTTTGTGTTTATGTAATGTTTGTTCTTTGAACATAATCACATCAGAGTTTTAAACTTCAAAATTGTCTCAAATTTTGATACAGGGTTAAAGGTCCCATGGCATGAAAATGTCACTTTATGAGGTTTTTTAACATTAATATGAGTTCCCCTAGCCTGCCTATGGTCCCCCAGTGGCTAGAAATGGTGATAGGTGTAAACCGAGCCCTGGGTATCCTGCTTTGCCTTTGAGAAAATGAAAGCTCAGATGGCCCAATCTGGAATCTTCCCTTTATGTCGTCATACGGGGAAAGGTTACCTCCCCTTTCTCTGCTTTGCCCGCCCAGAGAATTTGGCCCGCCCATGAGAAAATAAGCTACTACCATGCGAGGCGAGCGCAATATTTTTTTTTCCTCGAGAGACATCATGGCTTGCAAATGAGCGAAGCATGGCAGTTGCCCCGCCTCTCTCCTCCTCATTAGCATTTAAAGCTACAGACACAGAAATGGCACGTCCTAAGGAAAGCTCATTGTGGGACTGGCTCATAGTGGCTGAAATTCTGCACCAAGGCTGAATTTCGGGAAAGAGACTTCAGATACAGTACTAGGGACCACTTAGGCCTATATAAAAGCATCCAAAAAGCAGCATGTCATGGGACCTTTAAAGAAAGCTACAGACCTCATATGTAGTAAACAGGAAAATAAAGCAGCTCATATAATATCCAGTATTGATATCCGGAAGTCTTGCTGCCTGCAGATCTGTGTCGAGACAGATGAGAGTTTTTGACCCGGTTGTTTATTTGTTTGTTTGTTTGTGTCAGAGCTGACAGACCCAGATGAGCGTTTGGAAGCTCTGCATGAAGCTCTGAAGCAGATGCCTCCCGCTCACTGTGAAACCCTGCGATATCTCATGGCACATTTAAAGAGGTGAGAGACGTATCGATATCAGACCTCCTGTAATAACATCATATGAAAATCTTGCAGTCGTCTGTACGAGTTTGTATATATATATATATATATATATATATTATTTGTTGTTGTTGTTTTTAT